ATGACTAAGTACTTAAAGTAAAGAAAAGCAATAATAATAGAATAAAGTACTTAAAGAAATACTGAATAAAGTAAATGCTAAAATGAAAAAATTACAAAGGAGCTATACCAGACCCAGAAGACTCTTCCAGACTCTAAGAGCAGCTCCGCTCTTGCTCTACTCCACTACTAGACTACTACTCTATAGCTAAGCTAAGCTAGAAAGCTAAGAGAAGCTTGGAGAGCTTGGAAATGAATGGGGCACTTCTCCACTGAGCTCCACACCCTCTATTTATAGTGTAGAGAGGCATGGGGGGTATTTGTAGGTAGTGGCAAGGTCGTTGGAGGCAGGGGGCGCCGGTCGACCCTTGGATGCACCGCCATTACATCGTAGCGCTATGGTTGCTCCTCCAAGGCGGTTGTGAAGCTAGCATGTGGTCAAACTTGGCAGGTAAGTCGGTTGGTAAGTCGGTGGAGAGCTCCCAAGTCTATGACATTAGGCCCGTGAATCCACCGGCATCAAATCTTGTCCGTTGATCAAACCGACTTGAATGGAAGCTTGTGATTGGCTTAGAAGCAACTCCCACGGATCGGTGACGTGGCAGTGCCACTTGGGGGCTGGGCAGCGCCCTTATGGGGCCGGGTGGTGGTCCCAAGTGGGCCCAAGGCCTCCTGCCACGTCCACTTGCTTCCTTGGTCCACTTTTGTCACCATTTTGTCCAAATTTTGCCATATTTCCTACATACAAATAATTCTACAAGCACAAGTGGAACTAGGTGAATTATAAACAAAATTCTACACATGTGATGATGATTTACCTAACTTTGTCATGCTTTTGGGTGGAATGTTGATGGTCAAAATGGATGTTAGTGACCGTCAACAATAAGTGTGGTGCTTGGGTTATTGGTTACCTAAATTTACTCCCTGCTCCCTGGTTGCGTGGTAGTAGTGGGTGGTGTTAGCCCCATCTATCCTCCGTAGTCCCTTCGAATTGAGCAAGTTCTTAAATTAGTAGGACCATAGTCACGTCGGTAGAGTTATCTATTAGCGGTGCTTTACCGTCTAAGTGGCGTCCCAAAGTGAACACTAGAATCATAAACCTTGCTTTGCATAGGGTCATAACCATAGGAATCCTCTCTACTCATACCTTAAACCTTGATTGCTATCCCTAAACAAACTAGTGTTTAGACAACATACACACATTTCCCTGTGGATACGATACTCGATAATACTCCGGGTGAAAACTACTTTGATACCCGTGCGCTTGCGGATTTTGTCTCTGTGTTCCACCACAGGTGTCAACAGTAAGCTTTTCAGGACACTAATGCCCTCACAACTACTACATATTCCAGGCATATTCCGCTTTAACCCGGGCATCGTCGCCAACATTCGGGCAGCACGTTCCCAAGATAGTGCCAGCTTCCGCCTTCCTGCCTGGTCCTCGCACCGCGTTCCCACTTTTTGGACCCATGTTCCTAGCCGGGTTGAAGTTGTCGGTGCCTTGTCCCATGACGACCTCTCACCATCGCGAAGCCTGCAAATGTAATCACTTGCAACAAGCAAAGATCAGATCTCGTCTACCCTTCCGACCAGAGCGGATCCATCTGACATTTCACCAAAGCAAAATGCCAAGGTCAGTTAGCGACCACCATTAGCCGCCCCGCCATCACGCAACAACTGCAGGGCATCATTTTGTAGTGTCGAAAAGGCGATTAAATTGCCGGTCGGGACCTATTCGGCGCTCGACGCTGGGGCACCATTTATATGCGAAATGGCGGTAAACCCGGCTAGCTATTTCCCCCACGGCATTGTCATGTAGAACACTGTTTTTGCTTGTTCAAAATAACATACACCGGGCTCATGTTGCCTTCCTGCATCCGCAAGGGTGATGTAAGGAAAATGGACCTCGGCCCATTTAACTTTGGATTTTTGTGTTTGACCAAATTGGACTAATCTGTTTGCAAGTGTTTGTTTTTAGTCCAATAGGGTGCAAACGTGACTTGGACGAAGGCGACGAGGTGATTCGATGATTAACACCTCAAGCAAGGCATTAGAAGAAGTGAAGAAGACCAACAAGATCAAGCAAAGTCCAAGAACAAAGGATGGAACCAAGACGAACGCAAAGATCGAAAAGAAATGAAGTCATCAGAGGGCAACAGGGAGCTTTGGACCCTGATGATCAGGGGGTTCGGACCAATCCCCTAGAGTCCGGTTGCTATGCCCTAGTTTTGGGTGGACCAACCCCATTGAATAGGAGCGTCCAAACCAATGAGAGAGTCCGGTCCAGAGGCATCCAGAAAGGTTCCAGAGAGCGCCAGGGTGACCGGACTCAGTCCGAACCGAGCGTCTGGACCAATCAGCATCTGGTCCGATTGGCTGGCCCGCATGTCAATCACTCAGGCGTGTGTAACGATCGGCAACGGTCACGTGTCAGACGACCATTGGGAGGCGATCGGACCCTGGCAAGATGGTCTGGACCCCTTGAAAGGACCTAAATAATGCCTAGAGGGGGGGGGTGAATAGACGCTTAACAAATTTAAACTTGCAAAAACAAGATAAAAAATCACCGAGCAGGGCAGAGTCGGCTTAGCTGACTTGCCTAGTAGGCTTAGCCGACTTTCCCTTCCTGCACAGTGGCAGAGTCGGCTTAGCCGACTCCTTCGACCAAATCAAGTGCAGGGTCCCCAAATGCTTGTCTTGATCTTGTTTCTTCCCTTCTTCAATCCAAAGTGATGTGGGGTGTATATGGTTCAAATGTATCTTGCTCAAGATGCTCCTACACCCACAAACACATATACCCGAGTAGACACAAGTGGAGGCTCACAAATATGAATGTAATGCAATGAAAAGTAAATGCGAGCCGAACCAAAATGGAGGAGACGCAGTGATTTGTTTGACCGAAGTTCGGGCCTCACCAAGGTGAGTCGTAGTCTCCGTTGTGGAAGCCAATGAGGACCCAACAAAGGTCAACTTGTGGCCAGGCCTAAAGCGACCTTTTCCCACCTTTCCACTAAGGGGCCTTGTTTCCTTTTTCAGCGGGAAGACTCGCCCTTACAAGCTTCTAGCCGTGCACCACCTTGGTGTCTCACTAGTGACCACTAAGGCCGTCTAGGAGCGAAACTCCAAGAGTAACAAATGCTTCACACGAACTTGATGTCACCACGAAGTGCTCAAGGGTTGCTCAACTCAGATTTTGCCCACACAAACTCACAAGGCTCAAATTTGCTCTCCAATTCAAAGGATATGGCTAGATGAACACCAATCCCACAAAGGGTGAATTAGGAGCTCTCTTTAGGCTTTGTTGGTGTATATGGGTGTGGGAAAGCTTCAGCCACCGAGCCAAGGCCGTGGGAGGAAGTATATATACTGGAGGTTCAAAAACTAGCCGTTGGGCTCCTAGGCCAGACAAAGTCGGCTTAGGCGACTGAGTGGTAGGTGACCGTTGGAGGGTACCCAAGTCGGCTTAGCCGAGTTGGGCTGTCGGCTTAACCGACTTGACCAACCTGCACACCACAAAACTCCTCTCAAGTGCTTTGTTTTGGATTTCTCACTTGGGTTTGGTTTTGAGCACTTTTAGGTCACACTAGTACAATGTGTTGCATCCCTCTTGATAATACGACAAGTATAAACTCAAGAAATAGAAATCCACAATTAATTCCACTTGATCTTGTCACTTTTTCGAATAATGCCGCTTTCACCATTTTGATCATTTGAGGGCTTCCAACACCATCCATGCATTGAGTTGAGTTTCCTTGAGCTGCCACTCTGTGTTGATCAAACCTTTTGATTAGAATTCCACGTATCAACCAAAGTCACCTTTTCCAATTATTTGATCCTTCACTTCAACATGACCTTCAATGCTCGATTAGTACCTCGACTGAATGTAAGTACTTTTTTCTTCACCCTAACTAGGTTCTTCGGCCACCAAGCCGTCACTTGCCTTTCACCCTTGCTTAGTACCTCGAAGTCTTTCCTTACTATCTTCACCATCTCAAGCTATCAAGTCACATCTTATTTTGAATCAACCATTAAGCTCATAATATGTTATTGTGTTCATCATTTTGATAATATGCCTCGGACTCATATTTCATTTGTGTCATGTAGTCATATTTGAGCCCAAATTCAATACAACACATATGGGACTAAATACCTCTGAATATCTGCAAGTCTCATGAAGCACATTAGTCCCTTAATCGTGTTGTCATTCAATCCAGCAAAACCCACTTAGAGGCTAGATACACTTTCAATCTCCCTCTTTTTGGTGATTGATAACAACCCCGATTAAAACTTACAAATGATATAGAAAATTTAAATTTTGGGTTCAATGATATATGTGAGGCTCCCCCCTTAATATGTGCATATGAATGAAATTCATGAAAATGACCTCCAATGCCAATTGCACATATTTAGACAATGAAAGCCCCCCCCCCCTATATCATTGCATCCGTCGGGTGCAAGTGTATGTCAAGAAATAATCCGTGATATGCAATATGACAAGATATACACTCAACAAATGAGACAAAAACAATACACCAAGCAACACATGCATAACACACTAACATTAATAGTCCTTACAATAAATTAAGGTACATGACACACAATAGCACACATTACATAAATGTTCTCAAGTCCACAAGCTAAGATAGATAATAATACAAGCTGAACCAACTCTCACAAATCTCACAAAAGATATCACAATTGAGCTCATCTCACAATATATCTCTCAGATCAGCAAAACAAATAATGTGAACTTGAAGCTTTAATCCTTCTTCTCCCCCTTTGTCGTCAACTCATCCAAAAAGAGAAGGCGCTGAACTGATGCTGACATTGCAAATCACTCATCATCTCCATTTCCGTCCTCGTGACCGGGATCTGCCCAGTGAGAACCACCACTAGCATATGAAGAAGACTGAGTAAAAGGTGGACCAAAGATACTAGCTGCAGCTGTAGTGGCAAAGTCTGGAGACGACTGAGGGAAGGTCTACTAAAACTGCGGAAGCACTGTCTGACTGGGAAAGGTGCTCAACTGGGTACCAAACTGCTACTGAGGTCCTGTGTACGATGGGTGAGCAAACTATGACCCTGAAAACTGAGAGTGAGAGGAGTGAGCATAGGGTCCAAACTGTTGCTGCTGCTGAAGGTATGGCGCTGAAAACGACTCGCCTGCAGTGTAGTGACCACCTGTCCCAAATCCAGGTACAAACTGCTGACCTCCCATGCCATAGCCTGGCAGAAACTGCTCCTGAGGTGCTGCACGCCCCTGAGCTTAAGTGTCTCGAAATCAGTAACTTGCTCTGGAGAGCTCTCTGCCTTTGACTGTAACTCAGATCCATCTGGAGACACTTCCTGTCCTACTAGCCTCCTCATCTCCTTAATATCTCGTCGGTTCTTCTTGACCATCTCGGTGGTCTTCTTCCTTCCTTGCCTCTCCTTGTGAGTTCTCTCATCGGTACGCTTGCACATACAGAATATAGACTTGAGCACAGCAAAGAGAGAAGAATCTCTCTCTCTAGCATAAGAATACTCTGGAGAACCCCACACAAACTGAGACTAAGACTATGAAGTAGTAGCACCCATAGTACTGCTGAAGTGCTAGCCCCTGTAGTCCCTACTGAGGTGCCTGCTGCTGTGGGTGCTCCTGCTTCTGCTCCTGCCGGTGGCTCTGCTTGAGGCGCAATGGGATCCTTGGTTGGAACAAGCTGAAGTGGCAAATGTTTCCCATCTTTCTCAAATATTATACCTGTGACCTCCTCAATCATACCCATGATATAGGGAGCAAGTGCTTAACTCTTCAGAGGACTGTAGGATATATCTTTGATCTCATCCCAAATAAAAGCAAAGACACTGAATCTAGTAGCACCTTCTTGCATCCTGGCAAGCAAATTCTTCATGTAACTCACCACTGTTTTGTTGTCTCCAACTCTCATGTAGATCGTCTTTCTGAACATTCTGTTGAGAGTGGAATAGTAGGTGTACAGCCCACTACCTTTCCCAAGCACGCCAGTATGGGTAGGTGGATACATGAATTGAGTCTGGGCTGGAGGAAGAGGAGACTCACTGTGAATCCTGTGACGATCCAAGTCCTCCCCTGGAAAACCAAGCAACTCAGCAAACCTCTCATAGGAGATAGAATAGTGATCTCCCTCAGTCATCCATCGAAGTACCCACTGTCTCCTATCTTCTGCCATCTCATCAAAGTAGACTGTGGAGAACAATTGGGCTATCACTTCTGTATTCCAGGCATGCTGATATCCCAATATATTCTTCAATCCCTTGACCTCACATGCCTCTACAATCTGGATAAAGATATCATCATTGAAACTTGTCATTGCTTCCCAATCAATATACTGAGACACAATAACTGGATTTTTCTTTGAAAGAACAACAGTCTCATAGAAGTCTTGCTGAAACAATGTCCTGAATCTGTTATCTGAAGCATCTTGATTTACAGTCATAGGATTAATTGATCTCTCCCTTCTTGCAACTTCTGTCATCCCACCAAGTCTGTAGTCTGTGGGAACTCTGCCATAGCGATGACGAGGTTGCCACAACTGTGCTAGCACAGGCGATCCCTGCTGACTAGACCCCTGCTGCCTAACTGGAGGCTGCTGGAAACTTCCATGCTGTCTAGCTGACTACTGCTGACTGACTCTAGGTCTCTCCTGTCTAGCTATTGTCTGCTGTTGCTGAGCACTGGGCCTTAGCCTTCCAACTAGAGACCCCAACACTGCCTCATCTTCCTCATCACCAGCATCATGAGGATTGATCCTGTAATTTTCATCCTCAACCTCATCATCGTCATCTGTATCGGTAGAGTGAGCAGTACCTTCTTCATCAATGGTCATGGTGCCTCTAGGAAGCTGCTGAACACGCTGAAACACTGATCTCCTGGACCTCTGAGCTGCTGCCTCACTGCTCTCTGGAATATCTGAGACATTTGCAACCTCATCCCTGGCTGTCCCATCCCCCACTGAGGGATCAACATAGTTCCTGGCTCTCACATTTCTGTCCCTCCTCCGATAGACTGCTCTGCCTGTCCTATCCATCCTTGCTGCCCCTGAGATCACAGATATAGAAATTGCAACGCATAAGATCTCTGAGGACAAGATATAGAATTTCAGCTTCCAAGGATTTTAATTTATATCACACATGTGACACATAAGCATATATCACACATGTGCATAAATTAGCTCAATGATAGATATGGCATGATAAGGTTCGATTTAGATAAAGAAGGAGCAAGGAATAATTATTTACACATACACATGTCGTATTTTGTAATACTTCACATATATGTATAAATATGAGCAAGTGATAGATTTTCCTCCAAAGAAACTTTGAGATCATCACAAGTGATTTAGAGGACTGCTAGCATCACATAGAAGCCATGAAACATTAATCCACACACTAAATCAACTTGTCATGGTGAATAGAGCCATTAAATGTGATTTACTTCGATCCAAATTCATTCAACAAGAACTTGTGAAGAATCATCCAAATATATTTCTCTTATGCTCCAAAGATGACAAACATCACATAGATGATGACTAGATCAACATAGGTGCAGCACACAGCTCACAAGATGCTTGACCAGCAAGAGTCGGCTCAGCCGACCAAGCCAGTCGGCTTAGCTGACAGGAGTCGGCTAAGCTGACAGGCCGAGTCGGCTTGGCCGGTTCATGCGGCCAGCCCACCAAATGCCTAGATTTTGCTCGATTCCTTCATGAAATTCCATCCATTGTTCAGTTCCTCTTAGGCATAGCATCTATAGCATATAGGAAACAATCCTACCCAAGGGTTTTGACCGAAATAACTTCAATCCATAGATCGGGCAAAGGGAATTTTCAAACCTTGGGGAGAGAAGGGGACCACAAGCCAGCGCAGGATTCGGCCTAGCCGAGATGAGGATTCGGCGAGGGGACCTTGGGGAGCCTCTCCCTTTACATGAATCGACGAATCTTGAGCACTAGGGAGAGAACCAGCAGGGGTGGCGTTGGCCATGGGAGAGGAAGGAGTGAGAGCTTAGGAGAAGCAAATGGGAGAGAGAGAGAACTGAAGAGGTAAGTTCTCAGACTTTAAAGTGCTCAGGCCGAGCAACTCGGCTTAGCCGACAAGAGTAAACGGCTTAGCCGACTCGGTCGGCTTAGCTGGGTTCACCAGTCGGTTTAGCCGACCTGCGCGGCTCCAACACCATTAAGCCAAGAAAATTACCATCTAGATTTCAAATTTATCCAAACACTTTTCCAAGGTATTTCCAATCATCTTTCAATCATTTTGACTCCATTCAATCATCTTTTGGTGTCGGAAGTTCTGGAGCTTCATAATCCAAAAACACTTCTGTCAATTTCTGTGATTTTGCATGAGACACAACTTAGGACCAAAACCTTAATTCCAATACTGACAAATGATCCATCCAAACTTATATAGAGAAACTTTGCAAGATTATTATGAGAGATAACAGATTTTGGGAATTTTAGCTTAGGGACTTGAGAATCATCTCACTTGTGACTAGCCAACATTCAACCAAGCAACTATAGTCACAAATGAGAATGATAAGATCACAAAGATCCAAGATTTCAAATATTTTCAAAATCTCCAACACATGAGCATCTAGTTTGGTTTTCGTAATTTCTAACTTATTCCACTCAAATGCACAATCTAGCATATAGAGGTCCTAGATGCACGACGATATTGAAATGCTTTAAAGTAAATCCATACCTTGGCCTCTAGCAGCCTTTGTGCTTGGAATATGACCGTTTACACAAGCACAATTATTTGAGAAACACATTCTCAATCTAGTGAGCAAAGCTATATGCAAGATCATTTAATTTTTCGAGAGACAACTTAAGTGAGATATCCAACCATGAGTTGCTCTAGTATTCATCAGTGTGCAGGGATCTTTGCAATAGGTCTCAAGTGTTACATGTATATCAAGGATAGAGTTCACACTTGAAACGAGACAACCTTCTCATATGAACTACAAAACTTGCTCAATGAAAGGTTAGTCCATAGGGCACAAAGAATTCAACGAGCTCCCCCTAAATGGGTGCAGCAGGTGTTCGAATTACTTGATCAATGCACTTAGTTAATTTCTTAACTTGAGAGGCTCATTTTATTCCTTTGCCAAGAGTATTAAAATGAAATAAACTTGTGAAGCAATACTCATAGTGAATGGGTCACATGAATCGACTATAAGATAAATGTACAAAAATATCTGTTGAACAGGCTTGAATTAACAATTTTTGCACTTTGGGCTGATCTGCAGCTGGGGAGTCAGCTTAGCCGACTTGGTGACCCGGCTTAGCCAACTCTGCCTGTGCAGAACCAACAACCCATCCTCATTTGCTTGATTGATCCATTTCTTGAGATCCTAGCTGTTGTTTTCACTTGAGTTTCACAATGAGATTGCATTGGGTGAATAATGAATGAATATGTAGCAAAAACTTGACTTGATAAATGGTCCAATCATATATATATTCCAAAGTCAAGCGTCCAATGCATCTCCATGGACCTATATGAATTATCAAGCACTTTTTGGTACCCAACTCTTGTTGGGTCCAGCAGGGTTAGTTAACAAGTGCTTAGGCACCCAAATGGCTCTAGTGCTAGTGTATGATGAACTCATTACTTTACTAGTCCTAGACCCATTTGTTGCCTTCCTAAGCATATCAAAATATCGAATTGAAGAGTTAGGCTTAGGAATGTTACCCATGAGACAATCTTTGCTTAGATGTCCCTTTTCTCTACAAGTGAAGCAAATACGGCCCTTGTTGTCCACATGTCTTGGTGTTTGTTGCTCACTTGTATTTGGGTTGACCTTGATGAGGCACTTTTGTTGGGACACCCACTAATCTTGTGGCCATTTTCTTTGCATGCATAGCACCTCATAATTGCAATTGAGCTTTCTTTCTTGCTTCAATATCATTGATGCCCAATATGCAATTCTTGGTTGAGTGGCCCTCTTTCTTGCACTTGAGACAAGTCATGGGTTCATTGTTGACTTGCTTGGCTATTTTGTTGAATTCCTTTTGTTCGGCCATTTCACACTTATCAGCCCAACTCTTGTATGGACATATGGCACTCTCATGTCCATACATGCCACAACCATAGCATAACTTTTTTTCATGTTTCTTGTTCTTGGTTATGTTGTTATTGCTAGAGTTGTAATTCTTTTGTTGGGCTTTGGAGCAAGCAAGGTTTGAACCCTTCTCAAGCTTCTGCACCATGTTGTCACGGTTATCTTGAGAAGGTTGTGCTTTCTCCATACCCTTCAACCGAATCACATCTCCTTTTAACTTTTCAACCTCTTCTTTGAGCTCAATATTTTCTATAAGAGTGTGCTCAATTGAAGATTGGCTTGCTTGAGAGACACGCTTGTTAGCACATAAAGTATTTTATTGAGATGGTAAACAAGTGTGTGTGTGAGAGACTGAGGTTGGGATGATTTTACCGATGTGATCACAACCTCATGAGCCACCTCAAGCATGATGTGAGATTCTACTAATTTTTCATGTGAGCACTTAAGATGAACATAGTTGGCTTGTAGTAAATTGTATTTGCTTGAAAGTTCATCTAATTTTGCCTTGAGCTCAATGTTGTCCTTTTCTAGTTGTGCAACACTAGAAGAGGAGTTAGTAACTAAAGCATGCTCAATTGATAACTTTTCATACCTTTCAGACCTTTCAGAGGTTGCCTTTAGCTCTTTCAATTGGGAGATGAAAAACAATTCTCTAGCTCACCATTCTTCTCAACTAGCTTCATGAGTATGAGCTTGTCTTTGTTGCTCAGATGATCAAGAGTGTAGCTATCTTCAATCTCAACATCACTCTCAATTTGATCATCCTCTTGTATCACAACTTTTTGCTTCACCTCATCTTGCTTTGCCTTCTTCTTCTTTTTCTTTTCCTTGTTGGACATGAGGCACAAGTGAGGCGGGTCACTACTTGTGTTGGTGATGTCCATGTTGACTTGTGGATCATCACATTTGGATGTTCCAAACTTTTTGCAAAGCTTGGTCCAAATAAGATGAGCATCTTAAAGGGCTCTCCATCACCAAAGATGATATAATCCACAAGCTCTGCACACATTGTTCTCAATAACACGTTAATAGCTTGAGCAATGAGTTGCAAGCATTTTTCTTTCAAAATGCTTGTAACCACAACTCTCTGAACAATTGGACCCGTTGTCCTAAAAATATCGAGAACATGTAATGACCAAGAATAGAAGTTTGAGCCATCCTCATGAAGTACCTCAATTGGTACCTCGCACAAAGAAGTACCTCAATTGGTACCTCGCACAAAGTTGACATCATTTCTCACAAGGGGTTAAGCTCGATCGTGAGACCTTGCTCTGATACAAATTGAAAGGACCTAAATGATGCCTAGAGGGGGGGGGGTAAATAGGCGCTTAACAAATTTAAACATGCAAAAATGAGATAAAAAGCACTGAGCAGGGCAGAGTTGGCTTAGCCGACTTGCCCTTCCTGCATAGTGACAGAGTCGGCTTAGCCGATTCCTGGTGTTGGCTTAGCTGACTCCTTCGACCAAATCAAGTGCAGGGTCCCCAAATGCTTGTCTTGATCTTCTTTCTTCCCTTCTTCAATCCAAAGTGATGTGGGGTGTATATGGTGCAAATGTATCTTGCTCAAGATGCTCCTACACCCACAAACACATATACCTGAGTAGACACAAGTGGAGGCTCACAAATATGAATGTAATGCAATGAAAAGTAAATGCGAGTTGAACCAAAACGGAGGAGACGCAGCGATTTGTTTGACCGAAGTTCGGGCCTCACCAAGGTGAGTCATAGTCTCCGTTGTGGAAGCCAATGAGGACCCAACAAAGGTCAAATCATGGCCGGGCCTAAAGCGACCTCTTCCCACATTTCCACTATGGGGTCTTGTTTCCTTTTTCAGCGGGAACACTAACCCTTACAAGCTTCCGGTCGTGCACCACTTTGGTGTCTCACCGGTGACCACTAAGTCCATCTAGGAGCGAAGCTCCAAGAGTAACAAATGCTTCACACGAACTTGATGTCACCACGAAGTGCTCAAGGGTTGCTCAACTCAGATTTTGCTCACAAAACTCACAAGGCTCAAATTTGCTCTCCAATTCAAAGGATATGGCTAGATGAACACCAATCCCACAAAGGGTGAATTAGGAGCTCTCTTTAGGCTTTGCTGGTGTATATGGGTGTGGGAAAGCTTCAGCCACCGAGCCAAGGCCATGGGAGAAGTATATATACTAGAGGTTCAAAAACTAGCCATTGGGCTCCTAGGCCAGACAAAGTCGGCTTAGCCGACTGGGTGGTAGGTGACTGTTGGAGGGTACCCAAGTTGGCTTAACCGAGTTGGCTATCGGCTTTGCCGACTTGACCAACCTGCACACCACAAAACTCCTCTCAAGTCCTTTCTTTTGGATTTCTCACTTGTGTTTTGTTTTGAGCACTTTTAGGTCACACTAGTACAATGTGTTGCATCCCTCTTGATAATATGGCAAGTATAAACTCAAGAAATAGAAATCCACAATTAATTCCACTTGAGCTTGTCACTTTTTCGAATAATGCCGCTTTCACCATTTTGATCATTTGAGGGCTTCCACCACCATCCATGCATTGAGTTGAGTTTCCTTGAGCCGCTACTTTGTGTTGATCAAACCTTTTGATTAGAATTCCACATATCAACATGTCGGTGTTTCGTAAACTGAACCAGTAAACTTATACGATTGTCGCGCTGCTCTAGGAAGACGATGGTACCATCCAATAGACATGAGAATTTATATTGGTTTAGGCCAGAGCCCTACGTCCAGTCTTAGAGATGATCGAGTGCGTGTTCCTCGCTTAAATGCTCTGAAGTTCTTACAATGGGGGTGCAAGAATGGTGAAAGAGGTGGAAGGACCTAAGCTAGGCGAAGGGCTGCCCGAAGGGAAGCTCCACGAGCCCTACTACTATGGTGAATGAATGGAATGGTAGAGGATGTGAATCGTGTTGCCCTGGCGGTCCT